ATATTTTTTTTTTTATCTGCCATTGTAACATAGAATCTGAAAAAAAAAAAACAATTAAGATAAAAAGCCAAAATTTTATTAATACAAATTGATTAATGAAGATAAATTTTTAGTTCTTATAGACTCTGAAATTTTCAAATAAACTGAAAAATACTAAAAAAGAAAGAAAAAAATAGTCCCAACCCCACCACTTAATATTTTTTTAATTATTTACTTAAAAACTATATGAAAAAAAGCTTTTTATTTATTTTTTGCCACCTGCTTTCCAGCAAGTTAATCCATTTTTAAAAAAACATTGAAGAATTTCTGTCTTTAACATATTCTATGCATGTGTTAAAGACAGGCCAATATGTTTGTGTGTTTCTTTGCACATCTTGAATACTGGTTTAACTTAAAATTAATTTTTTTTTTCTTAAAACTATTCACAAACACCTGTTCATTGGGTCGAAATCTATTGGACAATCAAACCTTTAAGGTTTATTACTAAAAATTTGTTTTTTTTAATTGTTTTTTTTTTTCTTTTTAATTGTTTTCTTTTTTTTCCTTTTTAATTGTTTTTTTTTTTTTTCTTTTTAATTTTTTTCTTTTTTTCCTCTTTTAATTGTTTTCTTTTTTTTTCCTCTTTTTAATTGTTTTTTTTTTTTCTTTTAATTTTTTTTTTTTTTTTCTTTTAATTGTTTTTTCTTTTTTTTTCTTTTTCTTGTTTTTTAATTTTTTTTTTTAATTGTTTTTTTAATTGTTTTTCTTTGTTTTTTTTCTTTTAATTGTTTTTCTTTTTTTTCATCTTTTAATTGTTTTCTTTTTTTTCTTTTTAATTGTTTTTTTTTTTTTTTTTTTCTTTTTTTCTTTTTTTTTTTTTTAATTTTTTTTTTCTTTTTTTGTTTTTTTTCTTTTAATTGTTTTTTTTTTTTTTTTTTTTAAATTCCTTTTTTCTTTATTTTCTATTTTTGTTTATTTATTTATTGTGTGTGTGTGAGAGTGCACATATTCCAAAGAAAGACAATTTATGAATAACTCTTGATTCCACTTTGTTCCATCCAAACTTATCAGGATTAGCTAATGAATATTGTTTCATGATAAAAAGGGAAAGCTTTTGTTCAAGCTTCAATTTCCATTTCATTTCTGCTTTCCAATTTTAATTTTCATTGGAAAAAAAAAAAAAAAAAGTCAATCAATATATCCATTTAGTTATTGATGTTCTGAAATTTTCACTGCATGATACACGATCCGGTGATTAATAGTCATCATGTACGATTATTTACGTTATATGAATTCTGTCTATTGCCCTCATCTTTGTCATGTTGCAGCTATCATGCCCTCTAGCCTTCTTTTGGGTGCATATCAATCCAGGTACCCTTCAAAGAATTTTGAACTGAATCCTTTATTTAATTGATGAGGATAGATTCATCATATTCCAAAACAAGATGAGATGATATTAGACATGGACAGGGAATGAGATCTTTGTATATTAATATTCAGCCTGAAGGTTGGGGGGGTCATCCAGATACCAAGCCTCAGTGTATAATCAAAGCATCAGGTCGTGACTTGAATTTGAAATTCCTTGAGAGTTGCCTGGATTGATAAGCAACTGAAGAACTGATAAATGTTGCAATAATGATTGTGACAATTATCCAAGTGTAAATAACCCCTCATCTCTGTGACAATTCAGATAAAATTGTTGGAAAATAAGTCAACTTTTTCCCCTCATAAATTTATAAAGTTCCTAAGCAAAGACTAAAAATGACAAGTTTAAATCCTTTTGATATTTTTTTATTGTAATATTGTCATTTATCAGAGGAATCAAATTCTTTTTCTGGGAGTAAGCCAAAACTCTTGGAATAAGGGGCCAACCATTAAGAAAGTCAAATCTAAGAATTAGACTAGGTTTTTGGTGAGAATGTTTGTTTTGTTTTTTTGTTTTTTTTTAAATTGCTATATGCTTCAAAAAGTTTTTTGTCTGCTGCTTGTGTTATTCAAAATATCTTTTGTATTTTTTGGCAGGCAACATTCGATATCCATTCCCAGCTACAGTCTACCCTGATAGTGTGAATGGTCCAGCATATGTATTCAACCCAGCTGTTGTATTATGGGAGTCCATTCCACCACAATGGACACTCATCCTGCAGTGGTGCAGCACTCCTCACAACACTCCCCACAGCACACCACACAGCACCCCTACCAGATTCAGGAAACCACATGGCCAAGGCTGAAAGTTCTGAAGTTCATTAGTTATTACATGACACAAGTGTTCCCACAAAGGGAAAAAAAAAATTGGTTATCATCTTCATCAATAACAACATTAAAAACACTACCAACAACCAACCCACACACCCAGTCAAGAGAACAACGGCATGGATGGTAGCAGTGACAGGCGGAATCCAGATTGTTAGCTATTTTTACCAAATAGGTGGCTGGCTACTTATGAGGGATATCCAAGCCCTCAGCTGCAGCTTTGGTACAAGGTTGGACTAGCTCACTACTGTTCAATACAACTTACTTCACCTTCATTTTTCAGTAAAGGAATTGAATAAGTATTTCTAACATATGTATATATAGATGTAATGAAATCACATAAATATATATACGTATGTGTAGATCTTTACCTTTTATTCTTCCTTATCAGGAATTTTTTTTTTTTTTTTTTTTTTTTTTTTTAACCTTATTATATACATACATCAATTTATACACCTGTATAAATAATTACACCTTCTCTATTCCTTTTTTATGTTTCTTAGCCCATTAACTTTCTGTATTTGTTCAAAAAGCCATACCAACCCATTGTAAGATTATTAAAAAAGAAAAAAAAAAAGAAAAATTTTTGAAAGGACATCCTCTTGACTATTCATTTTCCCATCACATCTTGCACTATCGTTTTTACATTCATGTCCAACAACGCATCATCATTTCACCACCACCTTTGAATTATTCATGCTTAGATGTCGTCTGTTGGTTCCTGCAGTTAAAAGACCCTCTATACATTGAATTCAATGGGAGAGTCGAGAGGAGAGCATATATATATATATATATATATATATATATATAATAAAAAAAGTCTCATGCAGTTCTTTCAAGTAAAAAACAGTTCAGTCTTTGTATAAATGATTGGAAAATCTGCTGAATCATAAAAAATCCTCACTTCTGTCGTGTCTTGAATTTTCAGGGGAGATCACTCATACCAATATATTGCAATTATAAATAACAATGTGTTTGTGTGTGTCCAGTTCATTCTTATTGTCATTCTGTTACTTCTTATTCTGTTTTACCAGTTTTGCTTGCTTAAATATATATTTTTGTTGTTGTTGTCTTGGAATAATAAGCATTTTACTTAACACAATTTTGCCTCAATATTTTTAACTTGCAATTTTGCAAATTAATTTATTAATCATTTAAAGAATATTTTTCCTGTTTCAATCATTTCTTCTTCAGTTGACAATTTTATCAAGGCTTTTAAGGAATTGGTTTAGAATTTCAATTACATAAAAATAATAGTGAATAGTCATGTGAATAGAGAATTACTTAACTTTAATTAATTTAAAAAGACACTCAACTTTTAAACAAAAGTACCAAAAAATTACAGACACCTAATAATGAATAGTTCTTAGTAACAATGGTTACAAAATGGTATAATATCTTGGCTGCAACAATTGTTGCATGGGTCCATCTATCCAAGTACATTCCAGGATGTGATTTGGGGAATTTAAAAAGATTAGCAACATATCTCACAGGATTTTAAATTTAATGAATACAGAGTCACTAGTGTAGATGGAAGATGTCCAAAATACATCTAGAACTGGTTTGTCTATGTGCTGAAACACTTCATCATGATCAGAAAACATGGCAAGCATAAAAGAGGTGTAAATGTATGAGATATAAGATCTGGTATGATGCTGTCAAGATAAACTCTACTTAATTTCTATAGTCCTTTGTGATCTTCAACAGAATGTACCCTACACTATTACAAAGCCACTGTCCAGTTTGTGCAACATCCAGCTGACTAATTGAAAGTATAGGTTCATGTTTTCTCCTTACCCATAAACTCAACCATATGTCTAAGAGTTGGGGATGTCTTGTCTGATCAGGCAATATGGTGCCAATCTTTATAGTCCAATGGCAAGTTTCTCTAACTCTGAGAGGTACCTTATAACCAATGCTGTCATGTAATGAAACATAAATTGTTAGTCTATGCATAAAAACCCCATGGAATGTTGGCTTATGGATTAAGCTGCACCAGCATTGAATAGGAATCCAATTTGCTGCAATGTTCCCTTTCATTGGCTGGTTACTATCAAGATACCTATGAGAGTGGCTGTAGTTCTCCTATGCCACTGATGTCTTGAATGTACATATTCTAGTATATCCTTACTACCGTTGCCCACAAAAACCTTGAGAAGTTGCTAAAGATAGTGTGTGATCTTTTACCGCTCCTAACAATCATTCTACAATCAATGTTAAATCTTGCCTGCAATTTATTGTTACCAGCTAATTACCTCTTTTACCTATTATGTCACATATATATCATCTAGCTGAGTCCATTTCTACAAGTGAAAAAATTCATCCAGTGTACTGTGGTCTCTAATCTTTTTTGATACTTCAGTTTATATGAATAGAATTTTGGTATCTATACCAGGAAAACTTAAAATTCATATCAAAGAAAAATAATTTTTTAACCAGTTTTAAAACTTTCATTATTGTCATTTGTTATTAAAGTTCTAACACATTTTTTTGCTTCTTTTTTGCCAGACCTTATTTCACTCCAAAAATAGAAACCCACAGTCTGATACATAATTATGATCTTAATTTTAATCAGAAATTTGCAAGTTTTAATCATTTTCCTTGATTTCCTTTTTAATATAAACTTCATTTTTTTAATGCTTGTGCCTTCTATTTGTTCCTGCAGATAGGCACATCAGTTGGTGCGATAGTTAGCAAGGTTAGTTTGTTTGAGCTATTATTAGAGAAATGAGTTCTAACCTCATAGGGTTTAATATTCTCTTTTCCTTTCCTTTACAAAATTCGGCATTAAGTAATCAGCAAGCGTTGACATCTCGTAAAAATACCTTAATCAATATCTTCTTTACGCTATATCCTTCAGTAGGCCGGGCAATGATGGCGCCTATCACCAATCACAATGGACGGATGTTTCCTCCAGGAGACCCGTGCTTTTGAGCGACTATTAGAATTAACTCAATCAGTTATAATTACGAGAACCATACATAGGCCCCCCATTACTAAAGAGCTGGGAAAATGGTCGATTCCTGTACCGCTCCGGTAGAACCTGACTCATCGGCTATTTTTTTTTCTTCCAAGAAAATATGTAGGAGAAAAAATACTCATTTTCTTTGTGGAGGACCTATGTTCAGATCAGATTAACGTCGCTTGTACTTCATTGATAGTTTTAATGAGAAAATCTCCACAAAAACAAGTCAATAACATTTATGCTTACCACAGATATATTTGTAAATAACGAAATTTTAGGAAGTTTTCATAGAGAAACAGTTCTCGCCTTCACAGTTCTGTTTCGTCATTATTCTTTTCTTGCAGACCAATCAGCATTCCCTTAATATTAATAACGAGACTCTGTTTGACTGATTTTGATAATACCAAAATGTTGGTGAACTACATATTTTATCTTTATGACTGACTTTGACATTCAGTCAATTGTAGCTCTGTCTTAAACTATACAAATTCCTTTTTAAGATCAATCCTGAGCAATTAAGTACAAAATTGTCCTGCTTATGCATTATTTAAAAATACATACTTTAAATATCTATTAAACATCGGCGTATTTGTCTTATATGTAAGCTCGAATGCATGGGCTTCTTACTATTTCGGTTCAGGGCAATCATATATTTAAAACCTCATAAGATGTCTTGATTTATGAAATTTGGAATGGTTCATTATGATGCCATTATTTAAGATTTCCTTCTTTATTTTTTTTATATATATTATATAAATTTTTATTTTAAATAAACATATATTTTATTTTATGCATTTGAAAATTTGATTGAATAATAACACTAAAGATATATATTAAAATGAATATAGGATATTGTATCACTGACATATCTCTTTATATATACTAAAATAGCACTGTCTTTTTTTATAAAACTAAAATTAAAACCATAAAATAGGAAATATTTTCAAAATTTTTAAACATCATTATATAGAGAAGAATTAAAATTTATGGTTTATTTATTTATTTTTTTTTTTTAAGACTATATATATACTATATATATATATATATAAATGCAAATACATTTTAAATTTAATCAGGGCATATATATGATTGCAAAAAAATTTTAAAAAATGTCTTCGTAAGTTTGGCACTTTAAGATTTTAATTCTTTAATTTTTTGAAAAAGAGTAACTGTTGGTTAATTTTTTTAAAAGCAGATTATTCTTCCAACACGCATTTTACTTGTTCTCTGAACGAACCTTAATGATTAAAGAGATGTTAGAAGAAAATTTTAAAAAGTTTAGCACATCCTAGGATTCACAAAAAAAAAAACGATGGTATAATTTTTCTATTTTGATTGAACAAATTTTCCAAATTCTCCCATATCTTCTCTGGATTCATCGCTAACTTTTCAAAATCCGATCTGACAACTATTGAATGAATCTCCATGCCTATTTTCAAGATTTTAATTTTTTCTTTAAAAAGTTTTGGCCAAGTAATTTTCGTCTTAGTTTCTTTCTTCTGCTTTCTTTACTTTTTAAAGGTTGTTGGAATTCCTTCCTTTTTAGGCCAGTATTCTTCCTTGTCTTTTTTAACTTTCAAAGGTTCATCTTGATTAGCTTCAAAATATAAAATATTCCCTTCACCTTCTGTGGTTTTTTCCTTTTTTGAGTAAACATTAATTCTCTTTATCTCTTCTTTATTTAAAGGGTTTAATTTATTCAATATTTTCCTTCCTTTCTTTTGTCAAATTAATTGTCTTCCTTCTTTTTTAATTGTTATTTTTATAGCAATTAAATTCTTTCCTTTCTTTTCAGTTCTTTGAAAAATCGCCCATTCATCTTCCTTTTTCTCCTATTTTAACCCAAATTCTTTCTTTCTTTTCTCTTCTGACTTCTCTTCATCCCTTTCTTTTCTCCCTCGTATTCTTCCTTCCTTCTTATCTTTTTATGGCTCTCATTTGGTTTCTAATACAAACACCATTATCCATTCTCTACCATTTTCTCACTTACAATTCTTTTCAATTTTTCTTAAATTTTTTTCTTTAAAAACCATGTTTCAATTGAAATCTCTTGATATACTTTTTCTCTCACTTTTTAATGAAGACTTTTTCTCCCATCTTTCTTCCTCTCCTTCCTTTTTGTATAATCATTTCTTTTCTTTCTCCTTTTTATTCTTTTTCTTCCGAACTTTATTTAATTTCATCTTTCTTTTTCTGTCCTACCTTCCTTTCTTTTTTCTCCTCTTTGGTTCTCTCTGCCTTCCATCCTTTCAAATTTCTCCTGTTTTCTTCTCTGTTTTAAGGATTTCTTTTTTTTTCTCCTCTTTCTTCAAAATCTTCCTTTCGGAATTTTCTCAATCTTTCTTTGTTGCCTTCCCTTTTCCTTTTTTTCTCCCTTTTCTATCTTTTTTCTTTCTTTGTTTTTCTGAGTTTCTTTTCTTTTTCTTCCTGATTTTTTTATCCTCTTTACTGCCTTATATCTTTTTTTCCTCTTTCTTGAAACTACCTTTTCTTTTCTTTCCCTCTTTCTTTCTATTTTCTTTTCTTTTTCTTCTTTTCTTTTCTCCTGCCTTTTTCTTTCTTTTTTCTCCTCTTTCTTCTCTCTTGCCTTCCTTTTTTTCTTTAATTTCTTCCTTCTCTCCTTCTTCCTTTTTTGAATTTTTCCTCTCTTTCCTTCCATTCTTTCTTTTTTTTATTTTCTTCTTTCTTTTCCTTTTCTTCATTTTGTTCTTTTGATAGTAAATCTTATTTTAATTTAAATTCTCCCTCGAATTTACCTTTTTGTTTTTTTTTCTCCTCTTTCTTCTCCTCCTTACAGAGCTTTCTTTTTTCCCTCTTTCTAATCTCCTCTCTTCCTTTCTTTTTTTTTTCTTTTTTTTCTCTTCTTCCTTTCTTTTTTCTCCCTCTTTTTCTCTCCTTTCAAAAACCTTTTTTTTTCCTCTTTCTTCTCTTTTTTTTTTTTTTTTCTTTTTCTTTTTTTTTAAAATAGGCTTTTTTCCTTCTTTCTTTTATTCCTTTTTTTTTATTTTTTCTCTCTCTGCTGCCTTTCTTTTTTTCTTTTTTTTTTAAAATAAAATCTTTTCCTTCCTTTTGTCAATCTCCAATTTTTCTTCTCTCCTGCCTTCCTTCCTTTCTTTCTTTTTCTCCCTCTTTCTATATTAAAGTCTTTTTTTCTTTTTTTTCCTCTTTTCTTCTCTCCTAGATTCCTTTCTTTCTTTTTCACCTTTTTTTGAGCTTTCTTCTTCCTGCCTTCCTGCCTTTTAATTATTTCCTTTCTTTTATCCTTTTTCTTCTCTTGCCTTCCTTTCTTTTTTCTCCCTCTTTCTTCTCTCCTGCCTTCCTTTCTTTCTTTTTTCTCCCTCTTTCTTCTCTCCTACCTTCCTTTCTTTTTCTCCCTCTTTCTTCTCTCCTACCTTCCTTTCTTTAGAATTTTCTTCTTTCTTCTCTCTTTTCTGATTCTTTCTTTTCTCTCTGCAACTTTTTTAAACTTTCTTCCTTTTTTTCTCCCTTTTTCTTCTCTTGGACCTTTTTTCTTTCTTTTTTCTCGTTTTCCTTTTCTCTTGTCTTCCTTTCTTTTTTTTTCTCCCTCTTTCTCTCCTCTCTTCCTTTTTTTCTTTTTTCTCCTCTTTTTTCTCTTTTTCTTTCTTTTTTCTCCCTCTTTCTTCTCTCCTCTCTTCCTTTCTTTCTTTTTCTCCTTTTTCTTCTGAAAATTCCTTTCCCTTCTCCCTCTTTTTTCTCCTTGCCTTTCCTTTCTTTTTTTTCCTCTTTCTTCTCTCCTGCCTTCCTTTCTTTCTTTTTTCTCCCTCTTTCTTACCACATGTCTTCCTTTCTTTTTTCTCCCTCTTTCTTCTCTCCTGCCTTCCTTTCTTTCTTTTTTCTCCCTCTTTCTTCTCTCCTCTCTTCCTTTCTTTCTTTTTTCTCCCTCTTTCTTCTCTCCTGCCTTCCTTTCTTTTTGTTGATTTTCTTCTCCTCTCTCTTTCTTTCTTTTTCTCCCTCTTTTTCTCTCTTCCCCTTCCTTTCTAGATCACATTTCTGAAGATAATTTTTTTCCTTTCTTTCTTTTTCTCCATCTTTATTAAATTTTCTTCCTTTCTCCCTTTTTCTTCATTTTTCTCTATTCCGGGTTTTTTTTCCTCTTTTCTTCTCTCCTTTCTTCCTTTTTTGATTTTTTCATTTTTCTTCTTTGTCTTCCTAATTTGGTTCTTTCTTCTCCATGCCTTTCTTTCTTTCTTTTTCTCCTCTTGTTTAGTTTCAATTTTTTTTTCTCTTTCTTTCTCTTTCTGCCTTCCTTTCTTTTTTTTTCTTTCTTTTCTTCTCGTCTTTATTTCCTTTTTTTTTCTCCCTCTTTCTTCTCTCCAAGATTCCTTCCTTTCTTATTTTTCACTTTTTTTCTTCTCCTGCCTTCCTTCCTTTCTTTTTTCTCTCTCTTTCTTACCACATGTCTTCCTTTCTTTTTTCTCCCTCTTTCTTCTCTCCTGCCTTCCTTTCTTTCTTTTTTCTCCCTCTTTCTTCTCTCCTACCTTCCTTTCTTTCTTTTTTCTCTCTCTTTCTTACCACATGTCTTCCTTTCTTTTTTCTCCCTCTTTCTTCTCTCCTGCCTTCCTTTTTTTTTTTTCTCCCTAAGAATGGATTTTTCTTTTCTTTTTTTTTCTCTTTCTTACCACATGTCTTCTCCTTTCTTTTTTCTTTTTTCTTTTCTTCCACCTTCTTCTTTCTTTCTTTTTTTTTCTTTCTTCTCTCCTGTCTTCCTTTCTTTCTTTTTTCTCTCTCTTTCTTACCACATGTCTTCCTTTCTTTTTTCTCCTCCTTTTTTTTCTTTCTTCCTTCTTTCTTTCTTTTTTTTTTCTTTTCTTTTCATTCTTCCTTTCTTTTTTTCTCCCTATTTCTTCTCTTTTGCAAATTTCTTTTTTTTTCTTTTGTTTTCTTCTCCTTTTTTTTCTTTCTTTTTCTCCCTTTCTTCTCTCAACCTTTCTTTTCTTTTTTTTCTCTTTTTTTCTCTTTCCTGCTTTCTTTCTTTCTTTTTCTCCTCTTTCTTCTCTTTCTCTTCCTTTTTTTTTCTCCCTTTTCTTCTTCCTTTCTATCTTCCCTTTCTTTTCTCCCTCTTTCTATTTCCTCTCTTCCCTTTTTCTTTTTCTCTTTTTTCTAATTTTCTTTTCCTTTTTTTTCTCCTTTTTCTTTTTTTCTTTCTTTTCTTTTTTCTCCTCTTTTTCTTCTCTCCTTCCTTCCTTTCTTTCTTCTTCTTTTTTCTCTCCTACTTTCTTTTTTTTCTCCCTTTCTTTTTTCTTTTTTTCCTTTTTCTTTCTTTTTAGAATTTCTTTCTTTTTCTCCTTTTTTTTTCTTTTTTTTTTTTTTCTTTTTCTTTTTATTTTTTATTTTATTTTTTTCTCCTTTCTTTTTCTTTCTTTTCTTTTCTTTTTTTCTTTTTCTTCCTTTCTTTCTTTTTTCTTTCTTTTTTTTTTCTCCTTCTTCCTTTTCTCCCCTGCCTTTTTAATAATTCTTTTTTTTTCCTTTCATTCTTCATCCCTCATTTTACTGTCTGCTTTCTTTGTAGTCTTTCTTTCACCTACTTCTTTTTTCCTTCCTTAATCCTTCCCTAGATGTCTTCCTTTCTTATTTTCTTCTCTTTCTTTACTCTTTTCTTTCTTTTTTCTCTCTCTTTATTGTGACCTGCCTTTCTTTCCTTCTTTCCTTTCATTCTTCCTCCCTGTTTTTTTTCTGTCTGTTTTCTTTTCAGACTTTCCTTTTCTTTCCTTCCCTTCTAATTTCCTTCCTTAAATCCTTCCTAGCTGCCTTTCTTTCGATTCTTTCCTTTCGTTCCTTACTTTCTAATTTCCTTCCTTAATTCATTCTTACATGTCTTTCTTCCTTCCGAATTTCCTTCTCTTTCTTCTCACCTGTCGTCCTTTCTTTCTTCCCCATCTTTTTTTTAACTTGTCTTCCTTTCTTTCTGTCTTCTCCCTCTTTCTTCTCACTTGCCTTTCTTTCCTTTCGTTCTTCAAACCTCGTTTTCCTTTTCAGTCTTTCTTCCTTCCTTTCTATTTTCTTTCATAACACTTTCTTCCTTCCTTATTTCCTTCTCACATTTCTTTCTTTCTTTTTTCGCCTTCTTTCTTCTCATCTGACTTTCTTCCTTTTTTCTCCCTCTTTCTGCTTCCCTTTCATTCTTCAGCCCTTTTTTTCTACGTGCTTTCTTTCCTTTTCTTTCCTTCCCTTCTACTTTACTTCCTTAAATCCTTCCTAGCTGTCTTTCTTTCCATTCTTTCATTTCCTTCCTTGCTTTCTAATTTCCTTCCTTAATTCATTCTTAACTGTCTTTCTTCCTTTCATATTCCCTTCTCTTTCTTCCCACCTGTCGTCCTTTCTTTCTTTTTTCTCCCTCTTTCTTCTAACCTAATTTTCTTTTCCTTTTCCCTTTCATTCTTTTCTTCCTCCCTCGTTTTTTTTCTGTTTACTTTCTTTCAGTCTTTAATTTCCTTCCTTCCTTTCTAATTTCTTCCTTAATTCAATTCCTAGCTTTCTTTCCTTCATACATTTCTTTTTTTTCTCCTGTCGTTCTTTTCCTTTTTCTCTCTTTTCTTCTAAAATTGCTTTTCTTTTCTTTCATTCATTTTTTTCTCTTTCTTTCCATTCTTTTCTTTCCTTTCTTCCTTTCTACTTTCCTTCTTTAAATCCTTCCTAGTTGTCTTTCTTACTTCTTTATTCTCTTCTCTTTCTTCTCTTCTTTCATTACTTCTTTCCTCCTCTTTCTTTGAACCTACCTTTCTTTCCCTTCTTCATTTAGTCTGTCTACTTTCATTCTATCCTTGCCTTCGTTTCTAATATTCACCTGCATTTCATTCTTCTTTTCCTTCCTTCTTTCTCCCTTCCTCATTTCCTTCTTATAACTCATTTTTTTTCTGTCTGTATTCCTTCAATGTTTCTCTTTCCTTTTTTTTTCTTTTCTGATTTCATGAAATTAATTCCTTTCTCCGCCTCTTCCTTCTTTCTTCCTTTCCATCCCTTATTTTTCTTTCCTTCTTCTTTCTTTCTATCTTCAAGAGCCTCGCTTTGCCTCCAGTCCCTGCCTCAACTTCTTCATTTCTACTCTACTTTAACAAAAGCGCAACGCCCAACAGATTTGTCTCCCTTTCGCTTTCTTCTTGGGGCAATGATGATTCATCCCAAGATTTTTCGTCATTCATTTACCGTTTCCAGCTCGTGACGTCATCTCCGTACAGGTATCTCGACGCATCACGTGACTCCAAACACCAGCACACCGCCACTCACTCATCACCTAACCTCCTTCTTTGCTTCCTTCTCCCTTTTTCTGTTTTGTTGCCTTCCATGACACCTTCAAGCAACTTTTGCTGATTTATTTGTCCATTTCACCCCTCGTTGATTCAACTTCCGCCTGAAGTCGGCCGTTATCACAATAAACTTGTTTAAGAGAATCCTTTCATGTTTTGTCATTTTGCATTTCGGTGCGCTGGTGGTGTTATGGTTAGCGGCACGGAACCGCGTTCGAATTCCGGTCGGGTCATTCCTCAGATTCAAGAATACACTTAGGAAAAGTATTAATCCATCTCATCTCTCCGCCAGTAATGGGTTAAATAACATCTTAATCTGGGCTTTCTAGCCGTAGTTGTCAACCAGTCTAGGAGAAGGTCAACTGAATTCAAGACTGCATGTGGCCCTGGCGAGCCGTTGATTATTTGACGTGTGTTTTTTACGGCTTATCAACATTTTTTTAAATCGTTATTTAAAGCGAAAAACATTTTTAGATTGAAAATTTTTTTTTTATTTATTTATTTATTTTTTTGCGGGAGAAGATAATAATGAATTACCGATACAAATACATTACCGATACAATTAATCCATAGCTGAGAGAGAAGAGTTGGATTCATGCCTTTTTCAAGGTTATTTACGCACAACTGAATATAACGAACCCGACTAGAATTGGAACTCTACTCTCCGATTTCCAATTCTGAGCTGTCATCCATTTCACCACCCGCACATCCAAGATTACGGCTGCTGATACTCCCAAGCGGCCAGCTATGCAGCTATGGAAAATGAGTAGTTAAGTGGGAGCTAAGAGGAAAGAAAGAGGAAAGAGGGTCTGGAGAATTTAACATTCAAAAGAAACATTGAAGACAAGATGGACGACTATTTACATTATTCGGACTATTGCCCTCATCTTTGTCGCCATATTTATTACAACGTTTCGGCCCTCTTCAGGTGGTTGGAATGTCGAACTGAACCCTTTATACGTCATGTGAGTGTCAAATGCTCCAAGCCTTCTTTCTTCATTATGAGCCAAGGAAATTTAAATTGTCTCTTTCCGATTGTAAGTATACGTGTCCTATTTGTCTCCATTTTCCCTAAAACTTCTTCGGTGCTCACATATTTAGTCCGGGGTATTCTCAGTATCCTTCTGTAGAACCACCTTTCAGGTGCCTCGAGTCTCTTCTTCATCTGTCAGTAGGTTGTCCAGCATTCAGTGCCGTATCAGAGGACCGATATTACATTAAAGTTCATCGCTCTTTTCTTTATTTCTAACGGAATTTTGGTTTTTCTTTATACTTTGACTTTTAAAACACTTTGTAGATATATAAATTTTCGTAATTACATTTCTGACGTCCCCAGTTCATAGTTCGCATCTTATAGTGTCCCATTTGCTGACAACCATACATTATGTCATCTTACATGTACTCACGTGGAGTAATGGATATCGGCTCGGAGTGAGGAATTCGAATTCCAGTCGAATGCATTACATCCATTTACGTGCAAATACCCTTGGAAAAGGTATGGATCCTCTTCTTCTCTCGCCAGCTATGGGTAAATAGCATGATAGGCCGTGTTCTATAGTCTTTGATGACAACTGGTCTACTGAAGAAAGAAATCGCAACCTACTGCCTCGTCAGTCGTGTATCAAATGATACATGATCGCCTAAGCGCGTATTACACATGGCACATAACTGACTGCCTCTTACTATAATCATACGCAAGGAAAATGACAATAGTTTTCATCCAGTAAATATAGGAAAACGCATTCCCAACCACCGTCATATGCCATAGACGAAATTTTTTTTTTCTATCAGTATGACTAGCAATGGAATTCTACATTTGTTTTTCATGGAATATTTTATTTTTCCTGAACCTATCAAATGATAAATGCTCCCTTTCCAAGGCCGCCTATCAAGGTGAATTGTTACAGTGTCATTATTTTGACAAGCTCCAGAGTAGAAATTTGTTCTGTCGCTAACAAAATATACTATCCGCTTTTTTATTTATTGTATTTATTTATTTATTTTAATGTCATGTCCTTTCAGGGCGGTAGCTGATCAGCCTCAAGCACACATGGCCCAGTGGATAAAAACGTTGGTTAGATCCAGTGACTACACCCAAAGAGTTGTGAGTTCAATACCAGTCCAGTGGTGACCCAAAAAGCTTGAAGAGCTGTGTTAAAGTGAAATAACTGAGACATCCTGAAGAGGCATGGCACGTGGAACTCGATCAATCTACTCCGGTGCACGAAATAATGGGTTCGGTTCGAAATTCCAATCATCTGAAGAAGGCCGGAGCGTACGTGTGTGGCTAAGATGACCTATAATTGTCATTCTCCCTATATATATATGTGTGTGTGTCTGTGTGTGTGTGTGTGTGTGTGTTTGTAGAGCGTGAGAGAGAGAGAGAGAATAGACTGACTGAGATAGATAGATAGCTAGATAGATAGAAAAAAAAAATTTGAAAAGACATAGATAGATAGATAGATAGATACGAACAGCCTGAGATAGATATGAAGATAGATAGATAGATAGATAGATAGATAGATAGATAGATATGATTCAACTCTTAATGAAAGAACGATAGGGATAATGGTAAATTAAACAAATCATATATATTTATATATAAATAACTATATCTATCTACACACACACACACACACACACATACATATATATATATATAATTATTTTTTATAAAAAAAAATTATAACATAAATATGTTATAAAATCACAACTAATTTTTTTGTATTAAGCACTCTTTTAAGAATAGTAATTGTTGGTTATTGGAATTCATTCAGTATACACCAATTATATACTTATATATATATATATATATATATATATATATATATATATATAGAGAGAGAGAGAGAGAGAGAGATGAACAGGCTGTAATAGATCATTATCTATCTGTGTCAGTTTTTCATTTACCCTGTCTCAGTACATTTTCTTTCGCCAACCAATCTGTTCCTTGTGATGATTCATAACCGTCACAAAACACCACGCCCATCAGCGGGAGATCTCTTTAACCGCCTTAGCCTTGC